AAGTTCCCCCTTCTGTGTTTAAATCATGTTGTCTTCTGCTTCACACTCTAGATTTTACAAATCCCTTTTCAAGACCTGTGAAAATCTCTATAAATAACCACATTAGTGGGGAAAAAACACTGTAGTGTGAAATATTCTTACAAGCAAAACAAAAAGGCCAATGATTTTATCATGTCTATCTTATACTAGAGATAAATGTTTATGAAGAGGGATTAAGACTTTTTTCCCCCCCCTCCAGCAACAGCTATAATAAATACATTGCTAGAGAAAATACGTGAAATAGAAAACATTCACTCAATGTTGAAGCACCATGTTTGGACACAGTACTGCGAGGAACTTGCAGAAGAAGAATCTAACACCATAAAATTGCTGAGCTCCAGCTTGCTGTCAATGTTAAGATCTCTCAAAGCAAAACTCGAGTGAGTTTTCCTGTGAGATGTAGTCCATGAAGCTTGGAAACACCATCTAACTGATTAGTCAGTAACAGGAAGGATCGACATTTCACATAGGTTATCAGGCAGCAATACAGAAACAAAAGCATAAACCCTCTCCCCTCTTCTTCCACCCCCATAGTTCATAGTTTTTGGCTCATAGAAGCAAAGAAGAAAAATCAGAAGTATCTAAGTGGCCTGGGGCTAATGCAGAAGACCTGCTGTGACACCTGTGCTTGGGACAGCAATGAAATAACCCAGCTCAGGCTGTGGCATCCCATCAGTGGCAGTGCAGCAGGGCCAGGCTCTGCCCGCCTCCACCGCCACTGCAGGAATGGCGTCGCCTGCTGCCGGTGTCTAGCTCAGGTACCACAATCTGTCCGTGGAGCGGCACGTTAACCGTCCTGAGGTTGCTGCCTTAAGCTTCTGTGCAACAGCTCCCTGTCTCGCTGATGTTCAAAGAGATTAAAGCTGCGGTTTCACAATCATTCATGCCACATTTGGGCAACTCCTGATCTCTCAGAAAACAGATAGAGCCCAGGTAGGGTGTGAACATACAGCTCTGCTGCTGAAGCAGAGTAAGAGCATGACCACCGGAGGAAAAACAATAGCTGCTCTGGCTTAATACCTGCCAGGATGAATTTCAAATAGCTGTGGATTAGCAGTCTGAGTTTACGCCTCATCTGCCCTGCGATTCCTATGGCTACAGCATTTTGATCCAGCATTACTAGCTCTGCAGCTGGATTTGTTAGCAAACAGCAGCCTTAAATTAAGTTCAAAAACGTCACCTTTTCATCTCAACTAACCTTCCACGAGAAATACTTATCCATTAGAAAACTAAAACCAACAATCACATGGGTAATTCAGACTTAGCTCATGCTCCGATCTACCTGTTCATTTCAAATTAATTTTTCATGTAAATGTACCTAAGTCGGCAAACACTTCACTAGCACCACCTCTTTGTAGCTGTTTTCAGGAGAGGAAAAGTGCACGCTGTTACTAAACCCTTAGCTTCTGAACTCACAAAAGGATTCATTTTCCCTCTGCTCCCTCTCCACAGCCCTGTGCAGCATCCAGCTGACCCAGCTGGACAGTACACACTTTGCTGGGTGGAGAGGTGAGAAGAGCCCTGCCCAGCTAAACAGCATCACACCAGACAGAAAATGTCTGGATTTACAGATGGATGAAGGAAGACCTTATTAGAAACACTCTCAGAATGAGGTGAGACTTGCCTGAAACTCTGCACTTTAGGACCTTCAGGATTTAATTTTTTTTTTTTTTTTTGGACAGAGTGCTACTCAACATCCCATCTTAATTACCGGTCCCCCACTAGCAGCATAACAAAACTGCTTACACATAATCCAGAAAGGAGTGCAACAGTAAATCTATCTCCATCAGGTCTCTGTACCTTCTCCCTCTCTCTCATACGTATTCGCTTAGGATTAAAGTTTAACAGCTTTTTTTCTGGGCAAAGGAATCATATGATCTATTCTCTTCTTCATTTTCTGCCAGATACAGTACTCCAGTCATCATCTTGTTGAACAAGTCCTCTCAAATTGCAGTTGGAACCCACTCTGTAAAACAACAAATGCTTTCTAATCCACTGGAAATCAAACAGCACCAGTGACTCCGGAGTATACAGTAGCAAAGATGTGCTGGTATCGTGGCACCTGCCTCTTCAAAACCCACAAAAGGAGAAATGAGACCTGAAATTTTAAGTGATTCAGCTTCAAGGTTAACCTGGCCTGCACTTAAGAGAAAAGCTGCGCTGCTGTAAGGACGATAAATGCCTCTGTAGCAGAGCGAGATCTGCAGGGTGTTTAAAACGCTCCACCCAGTGGTGGAAAGAATCTTCTGCTCTTTCCAGGACACTTAAATTCCCCGAATCCAGACTGCTCTCAGTAAAATGCCTTAACTTCCCAAAGGCAGAAACACAGTTCTACCACCGTTATACCTGGGAAACTGGGGAACGCCCTTTGGAATGATGCACAAGGATCAGATACTACTGCTTTTATTCTCTAATGAATGATTGGACTTGCTGGTAAAGACAGGCTCAGACCAAATCCTCAAGGCTAGGCATCCCTATATATTGTGGAGATTGGCTCAGGAAGCAAATGTCGATGCTCCTGCCCATCTTTAGTCACAACTTGGTACAAAAAAGACAATATTCTGAAGCACAGCAAACTGTGTTTGTGCACGACCTAGCACAGGACCTGGTTTTACACCTCTGGAACACCACACTCTAGGCCTAAAAGTGAAAACAGGAATGCAGCGTATTTCCCCAAAACCCAGAGCATCCGTGCGTCTTTCAGAAGAAGGGTTTCCCCCTGGGGACAAACTCACTGACCACACACTGGCAGTCTACACCGAGCGATCACCAAGGGTCTCAGCCGTTCAACGGTTTAATTGACCCAAAGCACCCCTTTTGACAGCAGCCTAACTAAGCAGCCACCTTTCAACTGGGCGACAGAGAGCAGAAGCACATGTTTGGACAATCCACACAGAGCTCACCCAAACTAGAACACCTAGGTTGGTTTTAAACTGAAGGAAGCAATTGCATTCTCCCTAACCAAACTGAACTTGGCATCCTTTAGAGGGAGTGTTCACACCGCCAGGCACTGCAGCGTGAGGCCACAGGCAGGCAAAAAGAAAGAAGTTAAATTTGCTCCCAAAATTAAGAGCATTCTCCCTTCCTGCCCCTGAAAACGCAGACGTTGAACTTCAAAACCTGGAAGCTGTTGAAGAAGTTGCATGTATGAGCAGTGCAACACATTAAGTCTCGGTAACTTCATGGGAAAGGATTTCACCCTCATCAGAGGCTCCTACAGGAAATGAATGGGATAAAAATGGAATGATATGGCAATAAGCAGTTGGCTCACACAGCAAAGGAAGGTTAGCAGCAGGATGCACCATGATCTGTGCTGACAGCATGTTCATAAGTTGTCTGGAAAATGAGGTGGCCATCATGATGCATTTTGCAGAAAAACCGCAATTATTCAGGACGACCAAATTCAGCCCTCACAGCTGGGTCTCAAAAAAACGGAGTGACAAAAGGGGGTAATGGAACATTATGTGCAAAATAAAGTGCATAAGGGGACTATTCTTTACTGCACCTATGCAGCCATGAGCTCTGAAAGAACTGTTACTGCACAGGGACAAGATCCTGGAAAAACCGCAGCCAGTTCTCTGGAAATAAGAGTTCAATGATTATCCAGAGTCAAGAAGGAAGAGGGCACTAGTTATCGGTTACTGTGGAAGGAACTAAGAAAAGAAAACACGCTGCTTCATAAAAATCCACGTGGCAACTGTATCTTAAACAGCGATGAGTATTCCTACAGTCATTAAAGACACTGCATCCACAAAACCCCCGGGAACGGTGATCAGCACACTTCAAGTGTTACCCACCAGCTGTAACACCTGCCTTGACCTGAATTTCTTGCTGGGCTGGGCAGTCAGGTTTTGAATGACCTCCCATCTTTCACAATCGACACAGCTCATGCCAGTGGAGTGGCAAGAAGAAGCTGTAGATAAGCAGTGTTTTGACAGTGGACAGAAGATGAGAAAGGGTAAAGGCGGAAGGCGTTGCAGCTATTTTAGTCTATGTAGCGCAGTGCAGGCTACGGAGAAGCGCACGCTGCCTCTGCCAGGGGATCTGTCCCACTAACCGTGAGGATCTAACGTGGACATCTACATCAGAGCAAGCTGCTCCTGACGGCACAGAGGACCGCAGTGAGCACAGTCAAGGGCGATCTCGTTTCATCCAAGTGTCACACACATTACGTCAAACGACACACCACTTGAACTCCACCGCCTGGACAACTGTGTACTTCTCAAATTAGCTAAGAACAGCCCCACATTAAGCGACCCAAGAGATACAGATGACAATAGCAGAGGAAGCTAAGAAATGCGTTGCTGCAGGTGTGCGGTTACCATGCGGCAACACAGACGCAACTACCCCCTTCTTGGAAGGCTGGCAGATTTGGTAGGGCTCTCTAGAAATGACCCAGTAAACACCAGTTATTCCCCTCGGCCAGGAAAAGCAGTTTCTCCAAAACCACTAACAATTCTCACAGCGATTTACTTTTAAAATAAATGAAAAACAAACGAACACCAAGCCCTTTTATCTTTTTTTCCTGTTATATTTATTGTTCTTTTGGGAGGCACAATGGAAAGGTCAGCTTTCGCTCATTTTCTTTTCCCTTGCAAAACAGCAGGGTACAGGTTATAGCCATCAATCTACAATCAGTATACACCTCACAAGGTCTCCAATTAAATTTTCACATTTCCTGATAAGAGGCACATGTGCCAGCCAGCAGCAGTAGCTGAAATAAGAATAGTTTAAGCAATACTTGCTTAAAAAGCTGTGCTGACTACTATTTTAAGGCAGGTTTGGTGAAAGTTTGACAGGCAATTTCCTCAGGAAATGAAAAGATTTTTGCCTACAGAAATACATTAACTTTGATTGAAAAGAAGCTTTCAGAAAATACTTCATCGGTGCAAAATCGTATCGATGTTACACTTCCTTTAGTTAGAAAGACATTAACAAATCCTTTTTTTGTTCAGAATTCAGACTTCTCAGCTATTCCTTTACCTTGCAGGAATGGCACAAAACGGAGGCAGGCAGCGATGCAGTGCTGTCACAAAAGGCAGAGGTTTCTCAGGGAACCGGTAATTCGGGCAGCACCGCAGTCTCCAGAGTCTCTCAGGCTGTGTTCTCAATGATAACAGCAATACCTTGTCCTCCGCCAATGCAGGCTGACCCAACCGCGTATTTCCCACCACGACGCCTGTACGGAAAAAGAAACAGGGAAAACGACATTTATGAAACCATCGTGGCTGTTGGCCTGATTCTGTGAAGGGAAATGAGCTACCAACTAGGTGCTACTAAAGATGACGGCTTAGAAGGTGTATGTTGTTGTTTTTCCAGAAAAATATCACGAAGCCTCAACCGACGCTGAAATATTTCTGTAGGAAGACAAGGAGTTGCAGATCTGAGCCTTCTGCCATCTAAAAGACGGGACATTATATTGTTCTTAGGAATACAAAATGGCAAGGAATGACATTACGGGATACTTGTGGTTTCCACACGTAACAAAAATGGCGTAGAATAGAGTTTTATTGCCACGATAGCTTTTCAAAGCTAAGTTTTCTACAGCCACGCTGCAAGAAACAGGTTTCTGCGAGGTGCCAATTAACTGAGGCTTTATGGTTGAACACTAATAAAGTGTTGCAAGTACAAGGAAAAAGATTCAGCAACCTCTGCCCTGAGGAGGGGGGGAAAAAAAAAAAGAAAATCCAGATTAAAACGGTGCTAAGCCTATCAAGCAAGGCAAAAAGAGTCAAAATTTCTGAAAATGGACTAAAGGAGAGAGAAGGGGATGACAAAGCCTTTTAAATACACCCGGTTAAGAAAAGAACAGGCTTTGCTCAAAGGCCATTTCAATAAAGGAAATCTTTCCACCGATTACGGTGGGGTTTGGATCGGATCTAGAGGAAGCAAAAAATCGTGAAATGACAACAGAATTGAACATGAGGCCATCTGCAGGACCTGGGCCACAGCACCAAGGTAACAAATCCAACCAGAAAACGGTACGCTCTAGCGAGGAGAGTTTCAAGCCAGTCGACTTGAAAGATTTTAGTCACGCAGTATCCACGCTAAAAACCTTTTGCAGGCATAAATACATCAGCATTGCACACCAGAAGCTCTGGGCTACGTACACACCTTAATTCATGAACCAGATGAGCCGTGATCCGTGAGCCTGAAGCACCCAAAGGATGACCTATAGCGATGGCACCTCCGTTGACGTTGGTTTTTTCGGGATCAAGGCCCAAAACTTTTTCAACTGCTAGGTACTGAGGTGCAAATGCCTCATTCACCTAAAACACCAGAGAAACACCACAACTGTTCACGTCTGACTTTCCACACAAGCTTGCAGAGGCATGTGTGCACACAAGATTAAACGAGGTGCGTTGCTTCTCCAGGTCATTTTGGTTGAGAAAAATATTAAACATTGTGTTTATAAAAGCAGACAAACTGTCAGGCGAACCCAACGTAAACACAAATCCTTCCGGCGCGTGTGATGTAAAGCAAGTAGGTAGTATAATTTATTAAAAAAGGGCGTGGTATATTCTGTTGCAGCGTGTTGCCTGGCAAAAGGTGGCCTTGCTCACAAATGGAGAAGTGGGACTGACTGAAAACATGAACACTCCAGCCCACAGAGTAAGATCTCATGTCATCGAAGGGTATTTTTTTTTTTGACATGGAATGCTATCACGTCATTTTCAATTTCCACGTGTCTGAGATTTTTGTAATAACTGTGCAACTGTGTGGCAGAAACTACATGGAAAGGCGAGCTGAGGCAGGTGGGCTCCAGACATGCAGAAACACCTACCTTGTGGTGACGGGTTACAAGTATGAGTGGAATGTTTCTGCTAAAAAGATCGGGAGTAACCTTGCTGTTCATGCTAAAACTCCTTACCTCTACCAAATCCATGTCCTTCAGGGTCAAGCCTGCTTTCTTCAGAACCTCGGTGATTGCAGGTACAGGGCCTAGTTGGAAATCATAAGCACAGTTAGTTTAATAATTATAATTTTAAAAAAAAAAAAGTCTTATAAACATGTAATACATAGGATAGGCCCTATCAGATCCCCTCCCGTGAGCCTCTGCGCAGGCAGGGAATTCTGGATATGCCACTCACCTGCTTTATTAGGCGGTAACAGAACTCCTAAATCTCAAAACTATTTGGCAGTCAGGAAGTTAGGAGCGTCCTTACTGCCGCACAGCTACGTTGGTAAACACACGCATAGCTTTCAAGTCAAGAGAGCTGAGTCCTCAGCCAAATCAAACAACCTCGTGACAGTTTTGATTCATTCTCCTTCACGGTATTTTTGGTTCAGCTTATTCTTTCCTCATAACTTGCAGCCTCCAGGTATAGAAAAAAGAAAAAGGTAGGCTGCTCTGGAGTTTGCTGGTCATGGGTTTAGTTACGGGTAATTGTTTCGGTGTTAATATAATTTACCTGAAAATCTTCTAGTCAAAACAACTGACAATCAAATGTTCCCTTGGACCCAGGTCCCAGCTAGCTGAAGCCAGTAAATTGGGGTTGTTTTTTGAGAATATTACAGAGCTTGGCAATAAAACTGTCCTCTGGAAGCCAAGTCTCTCTATAACCTAGCATAATCCACTAGTGGAGATTAATCTCAAAGCACAGCTACCTAAGGAAAGAGATACTCAAGGAGAAGTTGAAAAGGTTAATTAGGCATGTGTGGGTAGGACAAAGATACTGAGATGTTACGATGGTAGCTGATCATTAGACAAAAAAACCTGATCCTAAATCATTAACAATACTAAATGCTATCTCACTATCAAAAAATGGTGTTGAAAACTCATCGTTCAAAGAATAAAACCCATGAAATTATGTAAATGACTGAAGAGACAGAAAAATTAAAAGAAGAAAAGGGCCCAGTTCAAAGCCCAGTGGATTATTAGAAAGCCTCAGGCAGCTTAATACTAGACCTTAAATGCTTCTCATTACAGACAGATTTTAGTATGTCGGTTACGCATGAGAGTAATGGGAGGGTCTCATGTGGACAATACAAAGACCATTAATGACAGCCAAGCAGACTTTCTCCCCCTTTCTCTTCTTTTTTTAAAAAAATAATGAATTCTCTCACTAGACATTGTGAGGCAGGACTCCCTAACACTACCAACATGTGAAGGGGCAGTCGCTCAGTCTGAGCTCCCATTCTCAGCTCTGCTGCTGTCAGGTCAGTGAATTTCATCTGGTCTTTTGGAGCTGCTGGGGACAAGCTATTAAGGAGTTAGGATACTAACTGTTTCTCCATATGATTTATGAAGTTTTTAAACAAGCTAAAAGAGTTGCCTGACCTAGAAAGAATGGGCTAGTTTAGAAAGCACAATGACAGCATGAAGTCTAGTGAAAGAAACCCTCCCTCTATATTTGCCTCGAAGGTTGTGTTAGTCAGCTAGTCCGATCAAGAAAACAAACCTGACAATGCTTCATTTGCATTTCTACTGACACATGGAACCGGTCAACAATGACTTCTCTGAACAGAGTGACAGAAAGGAAAAGGGAGGCTGGGACACAATGCTGTCTACAAACTAAACAGGAGGGAAAAATCCCGGGGTGTCTGGATGGCCTTTGAGGGTTTGCTTGCGTTAACAGCTACTTGATTAGGAAGCATAAAATACGGGACTAACAAAAAAAAGAGAAGTAGTTGGTTTGCCAACATCGCACCCGAACAGATGTGTATCCTGGAATCCAGTCTCAGCTTGAGCGACTGAGTAACTGCTGAAAGGCGTACACACAGCCAATACTCCTTCAGCAAGAGGTGAGGAAGACAACTCAAGAGCTACACATTTAATAGTTTGATTTAAAGCTTACAGGAAAATAAAGTGAATTTCAGGAGAAAACTGTTTTTTAAAAAAATGCTGAGAGAGGGCCTATATTCTTGACTTACTAACAGAGAGTAAAAAAAGGTGCCTGGGGACCGCGGTTCAGTGCTAAGGCTACAGGTCAGGCACCACACATACCCCTTCACCCAAACTGAGGAGTCAGTCAGTCTGTCTGCTACGAGGGACGGGCTGATGCAGTGGAACGGACGGTCTCCCTGTAGCGACCCGTGACACAGACTCAGCTCGCTGCAGCCTCCCTTTCTTTCCTTTAGAACGCCCAACACAAGAATATTTTAATGCTGCTTGATGCTATAAAAATAACATGCTTTATTGCAACTTACCGATGCCCATTATGGACGGGTCACAGCCAGATGAGTGATAGGCTACTACTCTTGCCAGAGGAGTGAGGCTGTGCTTTTTAAGTGCCGATTCACTGGCAACGATGACTGCGCCAGCTCCATCACACACCCCCTTGCCGTGAGAGAGAAAAGCATTCTCAGCAGAGAAAATACAAACAAAAAGACCCCATGCTTTAAAAACGCCCCTCGAAAAAGGCTTCGGCCCAAGACACTATTATTAACATTTAATAGACAATTGTATCCGTGTTTATGCAACTCAACAAACTACAGTCTTTCACTATTCCGTGAAAGAAAGTTAAATACAGATGTTTAATTTCAATGTTTTAGAAAAGTAAAATACATTTTAAAAGTCTCCCCTACACTGGAAACATCACTCTGTGGACTTGCAAGACCGCCATTAATACTGAATAATGTATGTACTATTAATTATAAGAGATACTTTACGGACAGTCATACTTACCGTGGCTACAATCTATTTTAGGCAGGAATTCAGATTATATGATCATAGCAGTCCTTCTGGCCCAAAGAACATTAACCAATTGATTCAGATAATGACTGTAACAGGAACAGTCTGTAGTGGCATGCTGCTAAGCACCCAGTCTGCTCTGGGTAAGGGCAAAATGTGCTTTGGACTACAGAGGATACTAATTGTGGTACAACGATGAGCAGCAGCAGCGTGCCCACTAACGTAACGCATGGTTTGTACAGCAAATGCTCAGTGCTCTTTTTGCCCCCAAAAGAAAGTAGAATGGCTAACGCTACAGGTATCAACCGTGTAATTCAAGGCTGATGAGGAAGTGTCAATGCCTCGCTAAAAGAACGGTGACGATCCACAGAACCACCTTTTAGGACACAGGAGCAGGCTGAAGGATGCCCTGCCATCTTCAGGCTGGACCAGTCAGCCGGGTGCATTCGGCTGCAGAATTAGAAACTGCTTTTGTCAGGAGACACTGCTGACAGCCACAGGTGGCTCAGTAAGCCACAAATACAGTGGCAAGAAATTTGGAGAACCTCGGAGGTGACACTTCCACAACCCAAGGCTTTGACGTACTCACTGAAGCATTGCCAGCAGTCACGGTCCCATCCTTTTTGAAAACAGTCGGGAGTTTTGCCAATTGTTCCAGAGTGGTCTGGGGTTTTGGGTGCTCGTCCTTTTCCATGCTTTCTTTCCCCTTTTTCGTTTTCACCTCAATTGGTGCCATCTCGGCGTTAAAGTAACCAGCATCCTGAGCTGCGACCACAGAAAGGAAAATAAAAAAAACTCTGACCAAAATATCGAGATGATTGCGCAGCATGACCAATAATCCTGTTTTCATGTGCACACAACTTTTGCTCTATTTTAACCAAGAGTTCAGAGACAGTACTGTTTATCCTTTATTTTGCTTAAGTAGGCTGCTTGGTGTTTTATTGTTTGTCTGGGTTTTCGGAAACTAGGCAAAAACTCTACAAATACATTCTCAAATTTCTCCAAAGAAAGTCTCAAATATTAAAGTGTTATTTCAGCTTTAAGTAACTGAACTTTTTTTTTTTTTTAAAAAAAACCCACTAGATTTATTTTTGGTACACATCTCCCCGTACTGTTGCTTTATTCTACAGCTGTAGAGGGCTAAGACGCTGTAAATCTCACTCAGAGAGGAACATGGAAAAAAAACGCTGAGCCACATCTTCCCTGTTGGTAAGCAGCATAAACTATCGTGTATCAATTAAAATCCTGTCCAAGGTGCTCCTCTACAGGATCTCACAGTCAAGTCACGATCTTAGAATGGGATTCGGCTGCCTAAACAACCTGAGACAACTCCAGACATTGTAGGTATCTAAAATGCCCACAATAACATCTGTCCACGTCACCCAAGATGTCACTGGACACCAATATTCAGGCAACTAAATGCTACCTTTCGTGTCCACAATGTTGATGTCAACACACTTCATTTATATCTATTAGATTTAAAACCAAACCAACTGCTATCTCCCAAAACTGAACCAAGACTCCTGGCCACTTCAAATCATTCCACAAATGCAACTCTAAGGGATTTAAAACTAAGATGCTGAAATTGCTATATCTGAAGTTGTTTAGCTACCTCTGAAGTTTCTCAATAAATTTTACAACATCTTTTTCTTTCTTGATTAGCCACAGGCCTCTCTTTAGTGTGGAATAAGACGAATTAGTCGTAACAAGCAGAAATAAAACCAGTAAGGAAAAATCCTGGAAAACAAAAAACAACCAAAAGTCTCTTTGGGGCCACAGTTCCTAGCAAAGGCTCCGGGAACAGGAGGAGTTAGCTAACAAGATCAGCAGAGAAGGTAACACACGATTGCGAAAAGTTACAAAAAGCACTGCTACCCCTATTGAAAAAAAAAACCAAAATCTTCCTTCAAGAGTAGCAGCTGATAAAAAGCACCATCCTTAGAATCTAAAAGTATGCTTAGATCTTTGCTGCTTACATTCACCTTTGGGTTGAAGTCCTAGGACAACCACTGTGACCACTGCCTACCATCCCTGTTTACACTATCAATCAACTTACAGAACCACAGAATGTTGGGGGTTGGAAGG